GAGACACTTGACACGTGTCGGGCGGTCGGCTATAATCGTCGACCTCCGAGGTCGAGATTCCAGGCGCGCTTTGGCTGTACGTGTGCGTGTGTCAATATTTATGCGAACGGGGCCGGCGGGACCGCGACATATAAAACCTGGCGATATATAGCCTGGTAATTTCTTAATTGTGCCGAGAAAAGAAGACGCGAATTCTTTCGATGATCCGAGCGGCGGCGCCACGAGTTTCGCCTCTTTCCTTTTTTTGCATATGCTAGGGGCTCGCTTCTCTTTTTTGCGCGCCGCTTGGATTATTGCACGCTTTTCGGTTTCTATCAGCTTCAGCGAATGCTGCCGCGAAACCTGCCCGCGCGCGCTCGGCTCGGTGATAAAGTTTTATTGTCACGGAAACATGTGTTTTATGCCCGTTTATATGCCGGCCGAACTTGTTGTAAAGATGCTTATCTTAATGTGGGGTTTGTCATGTTTTAAAACGATGATTTTCAAAGAACAGCTACGATGCGCCCGTAAATTCCTCGCTTTATTCGTTCGATGAATGGAAATCATCATCGTCGCCTTATCAATTCATTAAAAACTCTACTTTTGCCGAACGCTCGCTCGACGCTGTTAACCGTACCTTTTCATACCTCTCGTTGTCGTTGGCTAATTATTTATGCGATGGTTAATAATCTATTTCACGTTTTATGGCACGCCGACCAACTGTTAATTGACCTTAACGAGCGTAATATCGTTTAGTAATTGGATTGTTTTTCAACGGCAAAAATCATCTTTAACATTGGCTAGTTATGACAAGTTTATTTTTCTTGTCTGAGCTAATTGACTTCCTTTTTCGCTTTCTACATCCATAAATTTTAATCAACACCATCTATACAAATACATTACATTTCACTTTGGTCTACAATAATCTCTACATCAAAACTTACTTGCTTGTGTGTACACGAACCATTACCCTTTGTTATTGAACTTCCACAACAAAAGTGAATTACTAGAAACATGAATTCACATAAAGTACTATTGATAGATTTAAATATAATAACAGATTTGGTTATTCGGTGCATGAGAAATCATATAACCTCGGAAAAAGTTAATGCTTAATCATAAAATAAGATCTCAAGAGATACTTGAAGAAAGAAATGGAAAGTCATGCAATTATATCATGCAATAAGAAATAGATGCGATATTAAATATGGAAATGAGAAATACATAATATACATATAAAAAATGCATGCAAAATATAGGAAAATACGTGCTTGATGAGAATAATAAGATTAATGATAAGTTGAGATACAAGTACCTTAGTGTGATAAGCGATTGTAATCTGAAATGGTCTAGTCATATTATATACATTGTCAAAGAAAGCAAAATATCGACTGTACATACCTTATAAACATGCTACATTTCTTAGTACAAAAGTTATGATGCTCGTTTACAATGATTACTATAATAATATTATGAACCATGATGTATGGGTATACTACTAAAACTATTGGTTGACCCTTATTATTTAATAATAAGATTGTGGTTCGTAATATAAGTTAGAGAAAAAAATGCATGCGTCGAAGGGAAAACAGTCCACTAATTGCCAAACGGATAAAGACAATTTTCTTATCCAACGATGACAAGTTAGTTGATAGCAGGCAATTCGAATATATCCCCGACAGTGTTGACCAAATATTTCATGCGAGCAATGGACGGCTTTTTCTTCTGTTTATACGCGTATGGCGTTTACATAAAAACACGGCATTTGTCGTGCCGACAGGTTTTTTTTTGTGTATTTCAGTGTATTTCGTTTCGCGGAGAGCAAGCATCTTCCCGTACAAGGTCTACAAGAAAAACCGGTTTGCAATTACAGTGCGCGCGCTCGCGCGATTCGCCTATGCAAAGTAGCTTGCAGTGGCCATATTCGTGCCGAAAAATCCGTAGGCGAGCATCGGGCGCATGCCCTAGCTTGTATCTCGCTTTCATTCTATTCTGTGCGAGCGCTCAGCCAATGACGATGGGTTCTAGAGGGGAATCCTATTGTCGCTGTAGCACCAATCGCGTGCGCACGTGCGCGTCACTTATAGCCGTTTTTTCGGCTGCGAAGCATCGGAGAGCGCCTCTAGCTCGCTGCATCTATCGATTGTTCGCACAGGCCGTACTCTAATGACCAACGGCACAGCTCGCATCTGCGGATTAGCCAGCGAATGTACGCTGGGGGTTGTTTTTTAATCTGCATCGGTCGCCAAGGCGACTGGCGCTCAGCTTTGATAGATTTGTCAGAAGCGATTATAGCCCGCGAGAGCGTTTTGTTCCACGGTTCACGATCATACGTAACGCACGTATTTCGAAGGTGCCGCCGGTACGACGAGACGATGAGACGCCGGTCAGGGGACGCGGAAAAAGGAGAAACAAAACAACGAGAGCAGTCGGCGGCCCGAAGGAAGTCCGCTGGAAGTCCGATGGAAGCCCGATGGAAGCCCTTCGTTTCTGGTCTCGACGCGAAATTAGATAGTCAATTGGCTCGTTCGTGCAGCTAATTCTCGCGGCGCGGCGCTTCTGTTTTTACAGGCGCGCACGCACGTACGCACTAATCAATGAGCGGCCAAACAATCAGCGGACAGCGAAGCCTTATTGCCCTGCGGCGGCAGTCGACAAATGATTGGGTCTTGTATACACAGATTGATTTCTGGCGCATTAGTCGTAAACGAAGAGCGCGCGCATTTCTGGAGTAACAATGGAGCCGGCGACTGATCATTTGTTTACCTTGCTCGATTGCCTCGAGGAGCGCGCGCTCGCTGTTTGGCGATACCGGGCGCGAGCCGAGGCAAATCTAGCCCGTGATTTATTTGTTCGTGCCGTTCCGGGGAAACTCCTCGAGCCTGTTTAACGTTGCTCGAGCTCCGAATAAATGCGATTGTCCGTGCTGCGACGACGCCTACGCACTGCAAGCTCGCTCGCGGAGGAAGCAATCAATGAACGATATTGAGAGGCTTCCGCAAAGTATTCAAATGAAGGTGTTCTATCCGAAGAAGACGCGCTATCTACTTGTTGTTTGCACTGCCTAGGAGCTAAGAGGGAGAGAGAAAGGGAGGGGCGAGTGAGAGAGAGAGAGAGAGACCGAAATCTTGGTTAAGTTGTCAGGCCAGCTCACACCAGTTGTGGGTTGCTCCCCGAGGGCATGGTTCTCATTTCGCAACATCTAAATCTTTCTGTCTAAATCAGTTTCAAGTGTGAGAAGTAAGTGTTTTCAGTCCAGCGATGCCCAGCCCACACCGAAGGTAAAGTACTCCTCTTGTCCCTTCCGCTTTTCATTGGATTGACCGGACGACCACCCCAGTCCAGACGACGCTGAACTTTCTCTACACTGAAACTTGGAAGAAGATTATTTTTGATACTCCGTATAAGCAAAATGCGTCTTTCCCGCGCGATCGGCAGGAAACGCGCGTTGAAAAATCGTATATTCTACACGGCGTATCAAAAAATAGGGTACGGCACATGTTCGGGCGTAAACGCCACGCGAAACAAGATTTACTTTCCCGCACTTGTATCGTAATGTACTATTTCGACAGTGTGATTTTCGTTCATGCGCTACCAGAAGCGTACGCTGAAAATCGAACACTGCACGCGTCCTGTGAAAAAATACAGTACGATAGGGGCTCGACGTGTGGACGCAGTACGAGTGCGCACGGCTTTGTTAAGCGCGCAAATTATTCCGCACAGTAACATAACTAATAATAGATTCTAATACCAAATTACTGTGCACAATAATTTGCGTGTTTAATAAAATCGTGCTGCACTACTTTACGCACGCCCACCGTACGACAAGAATCTACTTTACTTTACAGGGCTTCTATCGTAATGTACTACTTTTGTTACAGTAAAGTTTAAGCTGATTTGACGGGGATATTTTCATCTGCTTATTGAGATGTCTTGTCATACGAGCAAGTGCCAGACTACACGGGTGAAAATTCCAGAAAAGTAATCGTAAGAGCGAGCGCAAACGTGCGACGCGACGACCGGTTAGCAATAATTTTGGACTTCCGATAACCGCTATCGGGCTGTCACAGTAAAAATTGCACAACTGTTCACAATGTTTACCGTTACGGAATGGCGTGCCACCTTTCCGCCGGCTGCCGCCGTACTTTTCTGCTATTATCTTCGTTCCGTAAGATCCAACATGTCCAGTAGAAGTACGATAAAGAAGTCGCGAAAGAAGGAAAAAAATGAGCAGTGAAACGCTACAAAACGGAGAGGTTCGGTTGCATTATACGACAACATTCATCTGATTCTCGGGACAGTGGAAAAAGGAGAGAAAGAGAGCTACGCGTACGCGAGATAGGTGCTCTGGTAACGTCACCGGACGATAATTCGTGCATCCCCGTGCGGCCGTCCGGAGCCTCTCGCGCGGCGATACACATACGCGATCGGCGATGGAGATGCAGATTAAAAAGCCACGAGCTCACGACTCGCGAGGGATACACGCGCGAACACTCACATGTACACGTACGGCGGGATGCTCGCTCGGTGAAAAACATCGGCCATAAAGCACGCGAAGATATACAAATTCCTCGGGATGCAAGCGCGGGCCCTTTGTACAAATCGCGCCACAGTCCTGCCGCTGCGGCGCGCGAGCGCGATCGTGACGATCGTGAAGCGCTCCTTAAAAATCATCCCTCGCCACGGCACGCTTCAAGCAAACTCGCTCGGATGTAAGTTTGCCGCACTCGCCTTTTCCCATTTTTCTCCCCTTTAACCGCCTGGCAAATGATCGCATGATTTACAAGCTGCCCCAGCTGCGATTTCGCAAATGGTCACGAATTGCACGGCACGCCTCCTCGTGACGTCCCGTGCATTGTTTAGCGGCCATAGCGAGACGAATCAATCGTCGGTAGACGACGGGTATCGAGGGACGCAAGTCCACAGGAGACAAGTCGGCGAAGGTCTCGTCACTGGCGCGGCACAGGCCGGCACAGGTCAAGCAGAGCCGATCCGACACGAGGCAAAGGAAAGAAACTAACCTGTGTGAGTCCGTTTGTGGATCTTGAGATTTTCTGACCTTGCAAAAACCTTGCCGCAACCCGTCCAGGGACAGGGGAAGGGCTTCTCACCCGTGTGCACGCGAATGTGGTTCACGAGTTTGTACTTGGCCTTGAAGGCGCGGCCCTTCCGCCCACAGTTATGCCAGTAGCAGGCGTGCGTAGTGAACTCGGGCCCGCCCACGTGATCGACAGTCAAGTGATTGACAATGTCGTGCAGCGACTCGAAGAACTTGCCGCACATCTTGCGCTGGCCGCCGGGCCCGACCTCGTGATCCACCCACTGGCACGACATCTTCCGGAATCCATCGGGGCCGTGGCTGGCGCCGGCGTTGGCGCCGCCGCCCGGCGGCCCGGCGCCCACGCTGCCGGGCCGCGCGCCGCTCATGTACCTGAGGAAGGCCCCGTGGCCGTGGTGAGCGGGCGCGGCGGCGGCCGGGTGACCGACCGCCGCCGCGTGCTGCTGGTGGTGATGGAGGCCAGCAGCGATGTGCGGCGCCGCCAGGTACTGGTGGTGCGTGGCCGGCGGCGGCGGCGGCGGCGGCGGCGGCTGCGGCGGCGCCACCAGCCGGTTGTCCTGCGGGTAGTGGCCCGGGTAGTGCGGGTGCTGCGCCGGGTGGTGCGCGAACTGCTGCATGCCCGCGCCGCTGGCGTCGTGGTGGATGGGCGTGAAGAGGCCGAGCCCCGCGCTCTCGGGAGTCGTCGGGTTGGCCGCCACGTTGAACTCGTGCTCCCGGCGCAGCAAGAAGTCGCGCGCCGCGTAGCCGGCGTGCGACATGTGGTGGCCCATGTGGTGCGCGGGCGGATGGTGCGCCGTCGGGTAGCCGGCCTGGGGGTACAGGTGGTGGTGGTGCTGCTGGGCCGGGGCCTCGGCCGGCGAGGGCTGCAGCGGCTGTACCTCGTTGCCCGTCATCGCGGTGGCGCCCGCGTGCTCGGGGCTCGTCGGCGACATCTTGATGCCCAGAGCGGTCAAATGGTGCTGGTGCGACGGCACGCCCTCGAGAAAGCCGTTCATCATGTTGCCGCCTCTCGTCGCTCGCTCTGCTTATTCGAGGCGCGCGCGGCTCGTGGCGCGCACTCTACACTGGCGCATCACCCTTGCCGCGCTCGAGTCTCACAAACACACGCTCGCCGCGGATGCAGACGGTAGCACTCGGTATCTTCGGCGGTGGCGACTGTCGCTGCGATCGTGCGCACACTAGTCACTGCTCATGTTGACACGCGCGTGCACTAACCCAGCTCGTCCGCCTTCACTTTGATCCGTCGGTGGCTGTCAACTTCGGTGCTCGACGAAAATATCAAGCGCGTCAGCCAAGTGACGCGACCAGCTAGTGGGAATCGAAGGAGCGCGGAAGGGCCGGAAATCCGTATAACTGCGTTCGCTCCTTGCTGCGTTCACAGCGGGACTGAGTGGTGCTCCGAAGTCGCCGGCCGAAAGAGGGAGAGCGCGCGACACGCCCACTCGGCGGGACCCCCACTCGGCGAGTGGCGCCCCTGAAAGCCAGCCTGCCGATACCAGCCGACCATTGGCCCGAGCTCGTGCCGCAGCACTGCGGGATGGCCGACGACCAATGGGTTCGAACCAAATATCCTTAAACCGACACCCACGTCCGCGCCGCCGCCGCCGTCGCCGCCGCCGCCGTCGCCGCCGCCGACGCCGCCGCCGCTCACGTGTGACTCGCGCTCCAGCGGCTACCTGTGCGCGCCGCGGCGCCTCTTCGCAACCAGTCTGCTCGCGCTCGCCGCCGCGCTTTCTTTTCGTTCACTCCTGCTGACTTTTATTTCACGCCTTTTCTGCTATGTTTCTTTTCAATTTTTTACCTCCATACTTCGTTTCACCGCTATTCTTCCAAACAATTTTGGTTTTCATCTCCACTCATTCCTTCCTTCAATGAACATTCATTAACATTTTTATATGATTGCGCTTGGGATTACAAGCTATGTAGATTTCGATATATTTTTGCATAAATTGTACAATTTGGTAACCGTTGGTTCTCTTGAAAACAATATTTAATAATTATACATAACGGTTATCAATGTTCAATTGGAGAATTGCTTCTTCAAATACTACGCATTCGTATGATTTTTCATTCACATAACTTTGCTCCTTTCTAAAATTTATCAATCAGTAATTAACATAATAGAAAATGATAAACAATAGAAAGATAAATTCAAAGACTCACAGAGTGTAGTCGTTATAATTTACGGGTAGATAAAGATGTGATTAAATACCTGAGCAAATTTGTCAACTGTACAATTTTTAAAAATGGCGGAGCCGAGTAGTCTATGCAGCAGTAACTATAGCGAAACCATTACTCATGCGTACAGTTACCTAGAGACCTCTGCATGTAGTTCTCGAAATAATAATCTTTTCAATAATTTCATTATCCTGAGAAACTTTGTCTAAGAATATAATAAGTCTGATGATAGGTCGCGACGTGATTATTACAAAGACACTGAGAAAAATGTTCTAAGAAAATTTACTATGAATATTATAAAAATTGCTAGCTAATATACTAGTACCAGGATATATTGGATTTATATCAAATTTTATTATCGTTTTAATAAATATTGATGCGTATTCAATAATTTCTATAATGTATCATTTTTTAAATTATAATTATAATAGCTAAACATTGTTATATTATGTAGTAAAAAATAAAATATAAGAAAATTTACTATTTTATTTAGTAGTCATTGCTACAATAACTTTTACTTATGTTTAATAATTGTTGCTGCTTTATGTAATGAAAATTTATTTTAATTGTCAAATTTTACTACAAAAAATGATAAAAATTACTCCTTCATCAAACTGCCATCTAGTTGTTGCAATTTTTCAATCCATATAGTAAAAATTGCTAGAAGAACAGTTAAACTCCGTCATACCTACAGGTGGCTTCGCGATTTCTAACTCGCGAACGGCAAAAATGCTTACATTGATTCATCAATAGACACAAAAGTCATACACGACGAGCGGTCTCTAGTGGGTTTTCTGCTGCTGTTAACTTGAAATGACAAATGCTTAATATAATCTCAAAATGATTAGAGAAACTTAAATACAACTAGTATATTTTAATAAAAATGAAAAAAATATTCAATTTGTTAATCAATAGCTATCACTACAAAATTGCTTCGATTAATTATTAATTATAATATTATAAAAAAAGTTTGTAAGTTGGGGTAATTTTGTTGTCACTTTTGGGTTATATTGTATGAAATTGTAAAGTTGGGTTATTTTAAGTAGTAAATGTAAGTAACGAAAAATAGTTTAATGTAATTTACATCGACTAGTGATGTCTACCGCTCTTCGCACGCTTATCTTGTTTTTTCATTCATTTTACTGCATAAATAGATTGAAACTTTTATTGGCAAAATTAAAAATTCGAAAATTCAACATTAAATATTCGTATGATTTTAAATGAGATATAGCCGACAATATTGTTTATTAGTAAATAAATGTGCAATTACGTTAATAGTTGATATTCATGATTATCAAATGCTATGAATGAAGTTTTTGTCATTTAATGTTCTGTTTTGAAAAATCAAAACATTTCAAAAATACGAAAAAACCTTAATACAAGATCTTAAAACGTTATAGTTTTACATAATCATATTGCTTATCTTTCGCGATGTTAATAACAGACTACGGTAGATATTCACAATAAATTGTAATGAATGCAGTTTTTTAAAATTATTCTAATATTTTACGCAAATGAATAAGTCGAAATTACTATACCGTATTTTATCGAAATAATCGTTCGAATGATATTTTTTTATTACCTATTTCGTTTATTTGATGCTAAACTTGCGCATAGAGCAAAGTTGAAATAATGGGTCTATGTAGGTATCAATTGGTTAATGATTAAATAAATCATATCAAATTCATATCAACTATACTGATACATTTTTCAATCTTTTAATTGTCTACACGAATATGCAGTAATCTTTTATGAAGGCCCACAACACATACATACTATCCCATAGCAGCTGAAAACGTCGCTATTTTTCAGCCAATCATAACTGGAATAAAAACGCTTTACTTTTATATTTTCTTATTTTTATAAGGAGAATAATTTCGATACGAAACAAAACTGTTGAACGGGCAGTAAGGAAACAGCCAGAGTTTGCATAAAAATTGTTAGGTACGTAAAATAAAATAAAACGTATTTAAAAGATGCAAAAAAAAATGACTATTTTCATAGTAAATTTTATTGTAATACTATTCTTAATATAGTGTTTCTGAAAATACTGGCATTCAGGTATATTATAATACTTTTCTTACTATAGTGCTCTGAAAATACTGGCATTCAGGTATAACGGTAACCCAACCCTTGTGGGTGAAAGAAAAAGGGAATCGGTGCGACTTTGGGGCCGCAATAAAGTCGGTCGAGTGCTCTGACCTGCCCTTTAATATAATAATGGAACGGTGAAGATTGCGGGCAATTTAGCTCTCCTGGCGTGTCAGACCCTCGAGTCTAAAGTTTAAGAATAATGCCTTCTTGGCGAGAGCAGTTACAAACCAATAATGTACTCAAAATTGTTTACCAAAACGGCCGGATGAAGATTTTATCCGTTTCCATTCTTCAAGGGGACGTCTAAATAATAAGACTTTATTGTTAGGTCCTTGTATTTTCTCGCCGCCACGTGGCTTTATTCCAAAACAATATGCATTAGCGTCTCCTTATAGTTCTGGATTCCGAAAAGGAGAATTTAAATTTTGTTTCTCTAAAATATATTTGTGCATATATTTGTAGTGGTTGAACTGATTTCGATAGGTGTAGGCTCATTGGAAATGGTATACCATGAAGATGGTTCCGTTTTATTCTTAATCTGATTGAAGAGTATGTTTCTTCAACTAACATCGGCAATTACGTAGCCTTCTTTAATTAGTTGCGCATGCAAATGATTTTATATAAAATCAGCCTACAGATTTAACAAAAATACTTGTCTGCTTTTAAAAATGCATAGAAAAATTCACATATAGACTTGGATGGCACTTTGAATTTTCCGCTTATCTTATGTTTGTTGATGGTATTCTTATGCTATTTGAAGTCCATTGTGATTTGCGATCGCGGATTATCCGACGTAGAGCTGTATTGACGATATGTGCGGATTTGCAGTGCAAATTCGGGTCGAGCGCTGAAAAACATTTCAACAGATCGGTTATCTTGATTAGGGAAAACGTAGGCGGTTAGACGTGCCTATGCACTAAGCTCCAAGTAGCAGGGTCGTACAATCTGACAAATCTACCTTTGATCTTTTGACGCTGCTACTTCAGGCATGAAGATTTTCGTGGTCGTTATCCTCTTTTCAAAATAACTTTCCGTTCCGTTCGCTGGTCGCTCAAGGTTAACTACTCCTGAAAAGCAGTTCAATGTTCAAGATCTGCTACTTTACCCATGCTTTAGTTAAGAAAATGGCTAGTACTGTTTGAGCTTGATCGATGTTATGTTATTTGCGACGAGTACATGACTGTTACATCTGATTAATTACACAGCTCCTTCAATTGCTCGATTTATATATTAAAGTGACCAGTGTAAACACATATCTTTATTAAAATATGTTATTTTCAGTCATATATGTGTGATATTCATGAGCCATTTTACCATAGAGTCAATCAATTTCTTGTATAAAGCTAATATTTTTAATAAAATTAGTTTTGCATCTACCCACGATAAACTAATTTTTAATAAAATAAAATAATTTAGCAGATATGAGATAGTGTTTATCGATGTACATTTAACAAAAGATGTTAAATATACATAAAAAATGAGAAAATTTGAGACTAAATAAAAAAACACTATTCGATAAACTTATTGCATTATCAGTACGTTTTCTCAAAGATCTCGAAAATATTCGTAAATCTTATTACTAAAACATTTTATAAAGTGACTGTATTCTATAAGCCTACAGTCGATATATATAGAATTGTTATTTAGCGTTAATATTACTCTCTCAAAACTGATATCGACTATTCACGATCGCACTGCAAATATTGCAAGGATTTCGCGACGTTAGACTTTAAGATTTTTCACTGTTAAATTCCAACGCGCCAGGTTTGAAGACTGCTTGTTATAGCAGACCATCGATTTTTATAAAAAATGATTGTCAGATTTATTGAGCATTGCCGCTATTTAATTACGAATATTTCTTTTAAACATATTGATTAATATATACTATTCTATTGGCATGTCAATATTTCTAAGCATCGTCATCTAACAAGACGAAGTCTTTTTCATATTAGGCAATAATTTATGTATATTAATAAATAATTATTGCACTTAGTAAACGTGCAGATATGTTGTGATATTTTCTGTACTACCTACAATCTTGCACTTATTGTTATAATTGACAGTTCAACCGGATTTATGAACGACTACCAGTGCTGAGATTAATAA